ATGATTCTATGATTCTATGTCTCCAAAACATGGTTACAAAAGACAGCTGGGATGAGGCATTTCAGATGTATGTGAAAGCATGTGTGGTTTTAGCTAGTTTCCTCCTCCACTCTTGTGAATATCCTAGCTATTAGAATTGTGTTATAAGTTCTTCTCCCTATTAGCATACTGTGGAAGAACTTCAGTAAGTAAGAATGAGAGCAAGAGAGACCCAGACCTCAAGACTTAATAGATTGGATGGCTCAGATGATACTTCTCTGATTTTTGAAACCTTTTCACTCGTTTCAAACCTGTATGATTATGAAAATAAGCTTCCTTTCTTCCCAAAGATCTTTTTAACCGGTCTGTTTTAACATATGTGTGCAGTGGTGAAATTTCTCTTTAGGTTAAGCATCTGATGTCAGGAAAGGGTCTCTAAGAAAAGAATCACAAATAAAAGTAGGTATCTTTCTCTTGTCTAGAGTTTGTTGTCTGTGTTTTGACATTTCCTTGGTCTCAGATATTTCACATTCAGTTTACTGGATTTTGAGTGTCCTCAATTTTAGGCATACAGGTCTCTATCTGCACAGTATAGAGCAATGGTTTCCTACACTTTTTGTCACATGTCACCAAGATACTGCAATTTCAAAGTCCTCATAAGTTTTTTCTTTCATGATTGAGTTTTCATTAGACTGAAATATGATTGCCTACGAAAGGAAGTATTTGTATAATGTCCTAATTGTGAGGAACCTAGATGATAGAATGTAAGCTCATAGAAAAGGCAGATGGCTTATAAGACGGAGAATGTTGTCAGAGAGAAGTGGGAGCTACAGTAGGCAAAACACCAGCCACTTTCGTACATGGTCAGTGATACCTATGTGAACATTTAAGAATGAGCTTTGATAGTCATTTCCCCCTTGATAAGAAATATCTGGTGACATATGTTAATTCTTCCTTTTTATGCAGTTACAAAGTTAGGAGATATAAGAGGTCTAAATTCATGGCTGACATTGTGTTTGTTTACTTTAGTAATATAATTTTTCTGATATCCTTAATTAGGATATTTAGTTAGTAACTGAACTGTTGTAGTCAGTCTATAACACAGCACTTTTCCAGATATTTGTCTATAGCAAATTCAGTTTGGCATAGCTCTAAAGTAATTAACCTATTTTGACAAAGTTTAATGGCTCTATGTGTCAGTCAAGACTCATCTAACCATCCATAGAATTCATAGGGTCATAGGATAGTTTAGATTGGGTGAGACCTCAGGAGGTCATCTAGTTCAGCAGGTGCTCTGTCTTTCGCCTTCAAGGGCAGAGAAGAGGATGATGAGAGCCGGTCTACAAGCTTCCTCCTATGTCAGTCTGTCTTTTTGCTTAGGGTTTTGTATTATATCTGTTGCAAATGGTATCTGAATATATAACAAGAGTGTGTATTTTTAAAATGTGTAAGGAAATTACAGTGAGTTTTCTGTATTTTAACTTTTTTGTGTGTCAATTTATTTTGCAGAATAGACCTCATAACGGCTGTTTTTTCCCTTTTGTTTTGTTTTGTTTTCCAGTGGCAAAGTGTTTACCTGTACAGGCACCAGAAAATGGAAGAATAATTATGACTGGTGGATTTGAGCTAGGCCGAGAATATTCCTTTGGCCAGGTTGTGAATTTTGAATGTAATGCAAAATACAGGCTTGTTGGATCTGAAGAAATAATTTGCTCTTCTAATGGAAAATGGAATAGTGATGTGCCTCAGTGCCAAGGTAAAAAGGACACTATTTATTATCTGTAACTAAGAAGCTTTATTCTCACAGATTTCTAAGGACTAATTACTATACGGGAAACTACAAAGCTTTCACTTTATTCCACAGCAATTAAGCATAGTTTCTCTGTAAACAATCTCCATTGCATATATGCAGAAGAAGTAGGATAAGAAAGAGAAATCAGAGAATATTGGATGCTAATATAGTCATAATGGACCATCTGTTTGTTCCACGTTTTCACTACAAGCTGTATGCTTTGCCAGGCTGCAGTCAATTTCTTTAAACTAGCTTTGGTATGTCTACATAAGATTCAATCACTTCAGTGTTGATTTAACCAAAGTAATTACAAACAATTTTGAATCTATGTGAACCAAGTTTAAAAAACAGGTATGATTTTAATTCACTCATGTTCTTAGGATATATAAAATACAAAGAAATCATGATGGATTTTTCTTTCTTCAGACTATTGTGTTTTGACAAGTTAGAAGGTTAATTCATGTTTAGTTTTTACAGAACCACAGAATCACAGAATAGGTGAGGTTGGAAGGGACCTCTGAAGGTCCCTCAAAGCAGTCAGCTAGGGCAAGTTGCTCAAGACCATGTCCAGTCGGCCTTTGACTGTCTCCAAGGATGGAGACTCCACAGCCTCTCTGGGTAATCCATTTCAGTGTTTGACTACTCTTAAGTAAAAACATTTTTTCTTATGTTTAAGTGGTATTTCCTGTATTTCAGTTTGTGCCCATTGCTTCTCACCTTGTCACTGAGTGACAAGGAGAATGGTCTGGCTCCATCATCTTTACTTCTGCTATCCCACCACAGTCAGAAATTTATACATATACACATTAATAAGATCGTCCCTCCCCCACCCCCCCCAAGGCCTTCTTTTCTCTAGACTTTCTAAGCCTCTCTTTATCTGTCAGTTTTTCCAATTCCTTAATTATCTTCATGTCCCCTCACTGGACCTGCTCCAGTATGTCCATGTCTTTCCTGTATTGGGGAGCTAGACCTGGACACATGTCCTGGTTCCAGCTGGGACAGAGTTAACTTTCTTCCCAGTAGCTTGCGGGGTGTGCTGTGTTTTGGGTTTGGTATAAAAGGAGCGTTGATGGCCCAGTGATGCTTTGACTGTTGCTGGGTGGTGCTTGCACCGGCCAGGGTAGGGGGGGGGACACAGCCGGGTGGTGGACCCAGCTGGCCAATGGGGTATTCTATACCATGTGACATCATGCTCAGTATAAAAACCAGGTGTGTGGGGGGGCTCGCCCCCCGTTCGTGACACGCGGTCTGTGGTCGGTGAGCAGTTGCATTGTGCATCGCCTGCTTTGTATATTCTGTTATTGTTGTTGCTCTCACTGTTACTATTACTGTTCTGTTTTGTTTTATTTCAATTATTAAACTGTTTTTATCTCACCCCCTGAGTTTTCCTACTTGTGCCCTCCCGATTGTCTCCCCCATCCCACCGGAGGCGGGGGGGTGAGTGAGCGGCTGCGTGGGGTTAAACCACGACAACACAGCTCTCCAGATTTGGTCTGACAAGTGCTGAGTAGAGGGGAAGGATCACCTCTCTTGACCTGCTGGCAACACTCTTACAGAGCCCAGGACACTGTTTTCTTTGTTTGCTGCAAAGGCACATTGCTGGCCCCTGTTCAACTTGTCCATCAGGACTGCCAAGTTTTTTTCTGCAAAACTGCTTTTCAGCTAGTCGACCGCACCCTGCCCCGCGCACAGCTTCTACTGGTGGATTGGGTTATTCCTCCCATTTTGCAAATAGAGATTGTATGGGATTGGATTGTCAGTGTGTAAGAAAGAATCCCAGGAAGCTTATGGTAACAATCACTGTTAAATATTCAGTCCATCAAGTTTCTTAGACTATTTATATGTTATCTGATCGGGAAGTATGCATTTAGAAGAGCAGAGTACATATGTCAGGATGTCAGATACATGTATGGTTTTTTTCACAATTTTGCTGCTTTGAAAGCCCCATATATATATTATGATTCGAACAGCATAAAGTGGGATTAAACACATGTGCTTGTAATATTTGCAGAATATAGTGAATTTTATTAAACAATAACAGTTTCACTGAGCTTATATTTCATCCTAAATACAAAGTAAATCCAGCAAAGGAATCCAAGAGAACTCTGTGGTGTCCTGCTCTGTGGCCTAGGAAACAAAGCCATGAACGTTTTCTGGCTTTATGAATGCAGTTTTTGGAAACTGCAAGATCTCAGTGGTTTTATTGGGTTTGGCAAGGAGCTGGGGATGATAAGGTTCTTTTATAGATAGTAAAGCATTCTAGTGTCAGTTTTCCAGATAGTTTAATTCTTTTTTCCTGATGATGCCATAATTTAACTAACTGTCTACTGGCTATGAGAGAGCTTTAGGTTTGCTGGAAATTACAAGGAAATGAAATTATCTGAAAAATGGAAAATCCTACATTTCAGCTAGCCTAGTTGCTTATTTTAGAATGTCCTCTGCCTTATGTACTGATTCTGAGATCCATTAAAATCCAAAGCAAAGCCCTGAAATCTGTCTCATGAACCAATTTGCTATTGATGCTTTGCTACACCACACTTTCTACCTGGCATCCACAATCAGGTCATTGAAGAGTTCTCAAATAAGTTTCAAACAGTTTCCAAATGCAAATGTTTTTGTGAAATGAAAAAAACCCTAAATTTTATTCCAATAGGCATTTATTCTCAGCAAATAAAAATAAACAAAAATATATGGATTTTGTCTTTCTCAATTTCAGAGATTATCTGTGATGTGCCAAAAATTCTGCACGGATATGTACGTTCTCCAAAGGGCTCTTACAAGGAATCTGAACAACTACAGTTTGCCTGTGATGAAGGATACAGATACGGTGAAAGAGCAGGTGTACAATGTACTGAATCAGGATGGAATCCAACCCCCTATTGCACTGGTTAGCCTTGCCTAAAGTCATTTTGCACGTTTGTTGTGTTTGGAAGTAATTTCAGAGATCAGTAATGACAAAAGTTATTCATAACAAAAGAAATCCATCCACATCTGACCAATATCCTATGAAGATCTGGAAGGATTAAGTGTTAAAGGGACCAAACAACTGGATAAGAGTTTTCCATTTACAGCAGTAGCAAAAATAGTTAATTCAGTCTTTTGTTACTTAAGTGTAGTTAAATAGGTCCATGAAGCAACAATTGCTCCAGTATACTGCATAAATGAGATTAATGCTAAAATACTTCATGCAGCATTAGTAGCTGTTGTTATTTTATTCTTTTTTTTATATGATTCTGAATTAGTGGGGAGAACACAGGAAAAAGATTTATACATAAAGCTGAAAACAATAGTACTTTCTACATAGCCATTATGTCAAGAATTGTGTACAACATAGATTTGAAGTTTGCTAACCCTAAGAACTATGGACATGAAGTGATGTGTAAACAGAGACCAAAGTAACATGGTATGTATGAATCCTGCCACTGTCCGTGACTCTTAGTCTAGGGTGAAGACAGCAATTTGTTTCATGTCATCAGAACTGTAATTGCACAACCACATTATCCATGGTGTTCAAACTTCTCATCAGAAATTGTCTGAGAATCTCTACAAATTAATATATTTACAATGCTGAAACTCCCTCTTGCTTTCTAACTCCCAGATGCCTTCTGAGCACTTAAGATGACAAATCCATGATTTCTGAGGCTAGTCCTGTTTGACATCAGCCCCCTGGGTCATGGATTTTACTTTAGTTTCATTCAACTAGAGCACTTAAAGACTTTAATTAAATCTCTAAATCCCGCAAAGAGAAATATGCATGTTATGTCCCAGTTTAAATAGTTTGATGTAAATTTTGGGGAAATCATTAGTGCCTTGAATTGTCTTAAAGAAATTGCCAAACACTTGAAACTGGAAAAAAATGTTGGCAGCAGGACAACATTGTAGGATGTCATGTACCACCCACCTTCCTGGGACCTCTTCCAGAAAGACTCCTTTAGAAGTAAGGAGTAGTCAGTCTTAGTGCCCACTCAGTTCTTGACTTTTCTGCTTCAAGTTTAGTGATGATACTAATTAATATGCATTGCCTATGGTTTAGCAACATACTGGTTTTGAGAAGTGCCAAACAAAACATTCTTCCAGACACTGATACACTGGGCTCTGGTACTTGGGGCATATTCGAATAGTGGTTCTGAATCCTACTTGACTTACCACTGAACCTAGATGATTCAGCAGTACATGCATACAACTGATTCACCCACCTTCACTCCACAGCAGGATGAACCCGTAGTTACCTTATAGTCATAGAATCATTAAGGTTGGAAAAGACCTCTAAGATCATCAAGTACAACCATCAACTCAAACCCACCATGCCCACTAAACCATAGTCATCTCCTCCCAGCCCTGAGTGTGTTGGTGATATTTTCTAAATTGGAAGTAGAATACCAAAAAACCCAAAAGACAGGCTCCAGTTTATAAATAATATGTTTGCCTGGCTTCTCCGAGCATGAAGATATCATGAGCCTTTTAGAATAGCATTCTTGTCTTTTCTCAGTTGTTGAAATACTTCCAGTGTCAGTGCAAGACCCTAATCTTAATCACACAGCCTTTGAATGATCAGTTCTTAGTTAAATATAGTTATTTCTCCATTTAGGACCTGCCAGTGAACCTGCCCTCCTTTGGGACAGTGTCCATAAACCAGACCAGGAGAGCTGTGAGTGAGCCCAGCATAGGCCATTTTGAGCTCCAGCTGTGGAATGACCTACTGGAAAAGATTAGTCAAATTCAGTTTGATCACCTCTAGTTCTTGCTCCAACCTTTCTCTTTGCAATTAAGTTTTAATCTTCTAATCAGCATGACATCAGTGACAGCTATCACTTCTCTCTTACAGAAGTGTACATTTCTAAGAGTGGGAGAGAAATGTAACCTTTTCTTTGCCCTAAGAAACATCTTTTTAACAATTTTATGCAGTTATGGTCAATATAGTGTGAAAATAAGAACTTACGCATAAATATAAACATATTCTTCAAATTAGCATCCAATTTTTCTCTTTTATTTAGAAATTGTATGCTTTCCTCCAAGAATTCCTAATGGGAACTTCAGACCTCAAGAAGACAACTACATAGTAGGTGATATAATCACAATACAATGTAATCCTGGATATCATTTCAAAACATTGACTGGCAAGAACACAGCTGAATGCACCAAGAATGGCTGGGTGCCTGATCCAGGTTGTGTCCGTAAGTAGCTCTCATGAATGAAGACAAAATACGTAGAGTTGTTGGAAATATCTCAGTGAAAAAGAGGTCAAGAGAAAAACTTAAGAAGCATGAGAAATGAGAGTTCCTTATTCACTGTGTTTCTTCGTAATGTAAAGCTTAATTTGACGGTCTAGAAAAATCAGCTATAAAAAACAATGGTATAATCTACATTTATATTATGTTTATAAACACAGGTATTTTCTATTACTGTATTTGTGAAAGGATGTGTTAAAAAGTGCTATAGTCAGCTTCCTGTCAGGAAAGTTTGTGGTCCACCTGAGGAGTAGCATGCCAGTCAAGATAAGAGGATATAATGAGTGTTAAAGTATCCAAACCAAAAGAAAACATGGGTAATGGTTGGAAGGTATCTTTCATTGTAGTTATCACAGCTTTAGATTTTTACTTGCAGTTGTTTTTTGGTATATTATGAACAATCAGAGTTTAATTCTACCTATTATAACCTGTCAAATAACAAAACAAGATATTCTTGTTTGTTTATGAGTTCTTTCTTGGCTTAAACTTCCCATAACTACAATGATAGTTTTGCCCAGTAGGCACAGCATTTACAAATAAATAAATATATTAGCGATTAATTTCATAATCTCTGATCTTTGGTCACTGAAAATAAAAGAAAAACTTAGAAAATGGGGTGTGAGAGAAACCCTGGTGAAATTAGTCTTGTAAATGAACCTTTGGATGATTTGAACTATTCCCGAAAAGTGCACTGTTAGTATCTGGATTAATCTCTTCTCTATGTAGGTGTGGGTTCTAAAACTCAGGTATCATTCTGAGACCACCTCACTCATTATTGAATGGTCTGTCCTATGGGTGATCTCCCCTGCCCCTGCATGTAGGCTCTGGGTCAGGGCACTTCAGGAAGAACCTACCTGCCATGGCCAAATAGGACACCCTGGGTAAACTTGAATGAAAGCTTCTGGGAATCTCCTCCTTCTATCCTTGATTTGTCCCTGAAAAGGGTCAGTTCTTCTGAGGAACCGAGAGAACAAAAGAAAAACACTATAGTTTTAAAATAAAAATGAGAAGAGCTAGGAAGAGCTTTTGGTGCAGAATCTGAAAAGTTACAAATGAAAATGGTGACAGGAGTCATCTCAATTTCAAGAGTCCACAGTTCAGTGTCTATATCTGAGCTAGCGGTCTGGGCTCCCATCACGGTCAGTATAGTAAATTTAGTCAAGACACTCTACAAAAACAGTGTCATCTCACCATAGAATAAATACTTACATTTGGTCTCATGAATCAGCCTTTGGAGTCCAAGAGAATATTGACTGGATTTCTTGTTGGTTGCAATGGAAATGGAGGGAACTGACATAGGTATAGGTAATGACAAAGACACCAGAAGTAGAGTGCAATTGTTCCTGCACTCCTTAGGATCTGCCAAGGTGTGCAGTCGTGATTCTGTCACTTTCAGAAAACACTCAGATGATGAAGCTGAATCTGAATTAATTGTGTCCTGAGCTTTTTGTCATGCATGTGTTGATATTGTTGCTGTTAAATTCTATTTCAAGAGAAACCGTGTGACTACCCAGCTATAGAAAATGGCAAGTTAAGTGGCACACTGGAGTACTACAAAAACTATTACTTTCCAATGAGGTTTGGGCAGCATGCTGATTACCACTGCAATGATGGTTACTCAACCCCAAGTGGAGCATACTGGGTTCGAATGGTCTGTTCTGAAAGGGGCTGGTCTCCAGAGCCAAAATGCCTCAGTAAGTACATTTCCACTATATGCTCAATTCTGTTATAATTATCAAAGGTCTGTGCAGCAGAAATTGTGCTGATGGAGCCCAAGACGGAACAAAGAACAGTTTGTTAAAGTAGAACTGCTTTAGTTGACTTCTGGAACTGCACCCAGACTGTCATCCTATCTGCAGAGCTCAAACTGTCAGCTGGTAAGGCTGAAATGATGCTTTTGGATTTTGGAGATTCTTTACTCCTGAAACTATCCATGAGATTAAGAAACACATAGGAAATATTTCTCTTCTCTGGCTTCTGGGTCACACGCATGCATCTACTTTCATCTGCACACACAGCTGCACATACAGAGAGTTTCTACTCTATGTAAATATATTCTTCCTTCCGTGGCTTGGGCACCTTGTCTAGAGGTTCCTCTCTGAGATCCATTGCTTGGTCCCTTGGGATAACATTTGGAGCTGAGAAGGTGGCGTACTTTTGCAATAAGCTGAAAGTGAGCATGGCATCAGCAAGAGATCCCAATACACTGACTTAATGATTGAACTATAGAAAATAGATTTAAAGCAGTTAACTGAGGCCTCCTCTCCTAACAGATGTCTTCAGTCACAGTAAAGTTCCTACCTACTGGTAGGGCTTGGAAGTGGATTACAAAAGGTTGATCTTTCCCTGTTGCCCTCAGTGGAGTGGTGCTCAGTGCAGGAAAAGAGTGGAGTCCTGCCCGGAGGAAAAGACCAGTTACTCAAGTAACACAGCTACAGCATTCCTTCAGCCATCTTCCTTGAGTCTGGGCTCCTGCGGGCACAGGATGCTGTAGAGCCAGCATGCTTAGCTGTTCCTAAAATCTCTAGAGTTGGTTTGAGAGGCTGATACATTTGCACAATATGATATAATCTCCTGGAGGCAAAGGCTGAAAATCATGCAGGGCAGACATCAACATTTTAGAGACATAGCAGACCAAACCAGAGCTGGTGTACATGACGCTAGGTGCACTGAAGTTAGCCAACCTTGCTTATGAACGCTAGACCACTTCTTAGCGCATTATGTAGTGACTTGCATTCCTGTTCATGTGATTCATTAATGTTAGGGCAGTGAAACAAAACATGCTTTCATTCAGGTTTGAACACTAATGTCTTTCTGGGATAGAAGGATACAGAAAGGTGCTAGGAGGCCCTTTTTTAGTAACTGTCTTCCTAAGAATTAATTTACCTCGGTCCTTCCTGTACATATTACTGTGGTTAAATGTACTTACCTTCCTTCTTTAGAAAAATGTCACATCAGACAGCTGGAAAATGGTTATTTCTCACAGAGCCAGAAGAATGTTTACAAGGAAGGTGAAAGAGCTAAATATGTCTGCAACGATGACTATCATACTGAACATGAAGATGGGGAAGTCACGTGCACAAAGGATGACTGGTCACCTCCTCCAAGATGTATCCGTAAAAGTGAGTGTGCTTGTATTTTGTTGAGGTTTCTAGCTAAAACCGGTAAGTCCATCATCACATCACCTACATTAATCCATTACCACTGCTTAGTAACTAAGTCTAGGTGCTCTACAACTGAAACACAATGCTGTGATTCTCTCAACTGGCTCATGCAGCTGTCATGTCCCTGTATGCTGCTGAGGTCAGTCGTTATACAAACATGCAGAATGTAACCCTGTAAAACATCCACACGTGGCTCATTCAGATCTCCTAGAGTGTAAGCTCTGGGATGAGAGTCATAGTCCCTTTGTCTTCAGTAGTGAAATCTTGTTATAACATAGCTGTGCAGTAATATAATAAATAATAATCATTCCCCTTGTGCAGCCTATCTGTGATTTCTTGTCTCCTTTCAGACTCTTACTATGCCACCTGATCCTTGTTTCTCTTGCTTCCTCTCCAGTTGGCATCATACTGGAACCAGGGAGGAATAGAAAGGTTACCTCTCCTAACTCCGTTTCCAGCTTTTGTTCCTGACTTGCACCAAGGCTGAAATTGCTAGAACGTCTCATAGGAACTTTAAATACTTTAGATAACAATTTCATGTGGACAAAAGAAAGAATTCAACCTAACTTTTCTTAGATTGTAAAAATATTTTTTTAGGAAACAATTCCACCCTGACAGAGACACCGACCATAGAATGTTTTGGACCGCCACCCACTGAGATTTTGACATAGCAATGAGCAAATAAAATAAAATTTTGATTCCTAGTGTTAGGCAATCGTGGGCATTACTGGTATAAACACCAAAAAATTTGATGTGAAATTTAAACTTTTGAAGCTATTGCACGAAAGTATCATTAACTCTGCTCCCAACATTCAAATACATCCTCTAGTGTTCCTCAAAGTCGGTTTTTTTTTTTGGTATCTTTATTTACTTGACTCTCTAATGCACAAATATTGCTATTTGTTGTAGTGTTAATTTCTTAAAATGAAGAAAATCCTTCACAGAATAATTATTAGTAAAGAATTTAGCATACTACAGAAGTTTTCTTTCAGAATACAAGACCATAATATCCAACCAAGACAACTGGTTTCCATCCATTTAGACTGGCTTAAACAATGTGTTCCAAGTGATGTGGAATCAGTTACAACGTTGGGTCTGTCTGCACTAGTGTTTTAGTGTGCAAGAAGGTGTCCTTTGGTACAAATTTGCTTTAGTCCTGCAGTGTGTGCACTCTGAATGATTTCTGTTTGGTAGAACTGAGGTGGTACCTGCACACCATGGTGATCTCTGGCATGCCCCCCTTGCAATATGGACAGAAGGTCCTCTTTATGCAGTGCACGCCCAACATGAATTTCATTTCTAGTGAAGACCAGATGTGGACAGACAATTTTGGAAGCTACAGGATTGCTGCAAATCAAACCCCTGTCCATCCCTGCTTGTGCTGCATGAGTTTGTAACTGTGAACTTGACTTTTCACTTTCCAGTTGTCCCCCAGGAAGAGAGCTCAATGCAAAAGCAAAAATTCACATGCTTTTAAAAATATTCTAAATCCTACTACTGCTTCATTTGTCCTCCTTCTTCTGTGTATTATAAGCATGTAGTTTAACAGTGTTTTACTTGGAAGAAATTCTGTCTATCTCTTTCAGAAAAATGCCAGAATATCAATTTTGACAATGGTTATTTCACCTTGGGAAAGAAAACATTTCATTTACAGGAGAAGGTCATCTATAGTTGTCGTACTGGCTTTGTAACTCCAGAAGGACAAGAAAGAGGAGTGATACAGTGTCAAGAGAATGGCTGGACTCCAGCTCCAAAGTGCATCAGTGAGTAGCATAAAGGCTTCAGAGCTCTCTGTCATTGTCACTGGCGCAGACATGATGTCCTATGTACCCAGATTTTTGACATCTAGATTGGTAGAGTTTTCTTACTGGGCAGAGGGAGACTCAAATAGAGGACTGATCCTCCAGAGATTAACCTTTCTGGGGCTCCAAGAAATAGAGAGAGAAAACATAAAGGAAACGAGTAAGGTGCGAAAATATCTACTATCTTCTAGGTGAGCTATCTTTTTGGACCTCTAGCACGAAGTAGATGGTAATCACTGACCTCTCCAGTGATTCTTACCTGATACAAGGTACATATGCCTAAATTTACTCCCAATTCTCCCGCCTTTCGCACTTGTGAGGGACGATTTATGAAGAAATGCCTGTGAACCAAGGGATTCTGCCAGGAACTTTCTTTAAATGTGACCCAACTAAAGAAAAATGGGATTCATTGTTTGGAAGGATGTTATCACTATGCACAAAAAGCACTATGCATATGTCTGCTCTGGTGTTAAAAAGTACATTTGTGACAAATACCAGAGTGCTTTTTCCTGAAAATACCTCCATACTGTTGTTGCCTTTTTCCTTTTAGAAGTTCCTTCCTCTCCTGAACAGGGGTGTAGGATAGTAAAAGAAGAGACTTAATCTTCCAGTGTTATGATACCAAGGCTCGTAGTATTGACCAGCTTTAGCTGGTGTTTTATCTTGTCCTTTTATTTCAGACTGCCTTTACCTAGGATTTTGTGGCTTTTTTTCTGACCCCCTCACAAATGACCGTGGGGAACTGGAGTACAAACTGTTTGCTGTGACACCAATAATAATAATAATATGTAGTACAAGGAAAGGAATTTAATCTAAGGAAGAAATATTTATGCTAGATATTACTTCTATACACGTATTTCTGAAGATTAATGCAATAGATATTATGTAAATATGCTACGTATGAAATTCTACATATATATACTGGCAATGCAGAATTTTTAGTGTTTCAAATATACTGAGTAGTTCAGTAGACTAGCACACACTAAAGCACCTACAGAAATGATGGTTCCAAAGGACAGCGTTTCTGGATCACAAAATGCACTAACTTTGTTTTATTCTACAGAATCATGTAAAACACCTCATTTGGACATTTTGAATTACCACGCAAATAAAACTATGTTCATGCCTGAAGATACAATTGAGTATGCGTGTTTGGAGGGATATCAAACTGCAAATAATATGCCAACTGGCACCACAAGGTGTGGCATAAATGGTGAATGGAGTCCAACGCCTGAGTGCCTTGGTGAATATTGTTATGTATATACCTTGTGAAGCTTTTTTCTTTAAGACTTTCTTTGGTTTTGTTCTAATCATTAGTATTTTATGTACTTTTTGTAGGGTGTACACTACATGTTAATATATTTTGTCTTTGTAGCCATAGAATGTGAAATGCTGACATTGCCCAATGGAGACTTTTCTCCTAAAGAGGGTAAATATCACAATGGAGATGTTGTGAAATTTACCTGTGCAAACAACTACATGAGAGTGGGACCTGCCTCTACTCAATGCTATTACTTTGGATGGTTTCCATCACCACCAGTGTGTAAAGGTAATTCTTCTGTTAACTTTATTGTAGCAGGAAATATATGAAAATGGCTGGGCCTTGAGGACTTCCGCAGACACCTTCTATAAGCCAGTCTTGCTCCCAAGAACAATTATCCCATCTTTGTCTCTAAAAGGGCAGGAACTGGTCCTCTTCAAATCATTTCATAGTGTTTTGCTATTTTATGTGAAAGATTCTGAACAGTTGAACTTTCAGTGTTGAACTTTCTGTTAGCTTTAGTTATGCCAGTTGGAGTTCTGCAATAACTGAAAGTGAGCTGGTAAGTGGCTTGTGCAAAATTTCACTCAGGTTATTGACTGTAATGTATGAAAAATTATTTACAATTCAAAAAGGCATAAATAATGTGCAATACGGCAGCCAGGAGTGATTAATTTGAGTAATGTCCTCTCTTACTGTATCCTAAATGTCCTAAATTTTGTCACTGCCTAATGTTGATACCCATCAGATATTGTATCCTATGTTCCTTTTTCTGATCACATGATATTGAAGAAAAAAAAGCTGTTTTGGAGGTGACACAGAGCTGGACCCAAGCAAAAGAAACTCAGTGAAGGGTTTTCCCTGTGAAATTGCTCAGCTTCATCTGGTAGGATGACCAAACTCATGCAGAGGGGAAGATATATGCCCCTATTCTTCTCATCCTCTTTAAGACAGAGCACAACTTAGTGGCATCTGAGAAGAGTTTATTTTGCTGGTGCTATGCTCGTTAATGAGGCAGCTTGAGAGGATGAAGGGATCGCATATTTCTCATCTGCCTTCCTTTCCACTCAATCAATTTCCTTGTTGTCTTCCATGCTCTCATCCTTCTTTTTGCTCACTCTCTTTTGCATTTAAAAACAAGTATATTTCATATAGTTGGCTCTTTAGCTCAGGAACATTTTAAGCTCCCTTAACAGGAGTTCCATGCACTCCATCAGAAGTGAGTTCCTTTAATATACAGTACATATCACTTGCTGGGTGATTTTTATAACATAGGTTATTATTACTTGCAGAGTTTTCACTTTTTTTTTTTTTTTAAAGAATACTGACGTTGTCATCCATGTAACACTTTTTTTCTCTTAAAACTGGGTTGGTTTTATCAACCACTTCATTTATCATAGCAGGAAATTGATAGTGCATGGAAGAGAGTAGAGTGAGCCAGGGTCACGCACGCGTATCTGTTTGTGATCTCCAGCCCAACACGAATCCAGATATTCAAAGTCATAAATCAATGACCTGTTTAACCTATTCTCCTGATTTTTCTTAGCTTTAAACAATAAATTCAATTTATTTTGTGTTGCACTTAACATATAACTGTGCTAAAAGTACTGAGTTCAGAGCATAGATTTGATCTCTTGATTTCAGTGAAAGCCAGAGGCTGTGGACCTCCACCTGAGATTACCAATGGAAGTATTGCTGGTGACTCTATGGAACGGTATCGGCATGGGGACAGAAAGCAATATGAATGCAACATCGAATTTAAATTGGTTGGATCAAAGGAAGTAGAATGTGTTGATGGACAATGGTCATCTCCTCCCTCTTGCATTGGTAATCTATATAACCCTTACTTGTGAGAAGAATATAATTCACTGTAGGCTAATATTTCACAGATATTTTCGCAATTAAAATTACATATTTGCAGGTATAACATGTTACGTTCAAAATTATGTCATGGATGAAAAGTAAACATACACTATATTTAGAGCCAAAACTTTATTAGTAGTATCATTGAAATCTTAAGAGTCCAATCAAAGAATTTTTGTACAGTTTTTTATAGTTCTGATATTGAAATGGTGAATAGTTCTACAGTCAAGTCTCCGGCCTAAGCAAAAGCACCCACTTTCTGTACACGTCATTAGGTAGTGTACCTCAAATCTGAGAGTATGAATGTCGATGACAGGAGTTAAAAAATACTTGTGCAAAACTACTATTTGTTTCTTAAAACAGTGTCTCAGAATTGAAGTAGAATGGAATATTCAAGTTGAAAATACAGAAAATAATTCAGGGTGTTCTTATGGGGCAAGATGATCTAACAGCAGAACCAATAAATGGTGGGGTTTTATGGACTGGTTTACTCTGTTCCTATACATATACATTCTGACACGTCTTCCATGAGCAACACTGATGGTTTAAAAACCAGTACAGCATGGAGCTTGCATCTTTTCAGTCCTTGATCCAGTGAGAATAGTTTCAGTGCACAGGCTTGAAAGAAGAGTGGTCCAAACTTGAGTGCAGAGTCGTTAAAATTCAATTTTTGAGTTTGTCATGGGTCTTCCCTCTCCTACGTTAAGAGCAGGCTATATGCCCTTATTCCCCTTAAAAAACTACTCACACACTACACGCATCTGTGCAAGCCATTACCCTTTGCTGTCACTACCACTGCAAAAGTGACAGCCCAAGAGTGTCACACAGAGGTGACGGCGCTGCAGCCCTCTAAGTGATGTTACAGTGGTTTTCAGTTCTTGTAATAATACTGATTGAAAGTACACATTACAAATGTGTAGGTGTATAATCAAATATAATTTTGACTGATCAGAATCAGGGATCCAGGTGAGTTGGATTGATCCTACTCAGGGATGCAGGTGAGTTGGATTAATTGAAGGTTTTCTTACACTTTAGGGTTTATGTACCAATGAAAAACAGTTTGGGAAATTAATGTTAGTTGAAACTACTTCTGGAGCATGCTGTGGAGTTACCACAGTGGTGGAAAAGGGAGGGAAAAGACAGGAGAGGGATTTAGTAAACTGACTAAAACTTATACATACTCCAGCTGTGTTGAATTTTAGTTGTTACAATTAATGGGAGTAGGTTTGACTCACCAAATGCAAATACAGTTATTTTTATTTAAGTTCTTTCAGCTATTCATATATGACTCCAATATTATTGTGGAGTACTTCTGCTCTTTTCAACAGAAGACAAAATGCCATGTGGATCACCGTCCTCTATTCCGAATGTTGTTCTTCATCAGGAAGACCAGACCCAGTTTTCGCATGGTGATGAAGTAATTTATAGATGTAAACAAGGCTCTGGCAATTCTAAGGAAATGAAAACAAAATGTCTTAATGGGGAATGGAAGACTTTACCCCTTTGTGCCGGTAATCTATTTCCATGATATTTCCATAACATTTCAGATATGAGTGTAACATAGTTCTATTCAAAATTTCAAGGACTTTAGCAATCACTATGTAGCCAGAGATACTATAGTTTCATGCATCTCAACTAAATTTTTTTAATTTACTCCTCTTTTAAATGTGAACATGTCCTTCATCCTGGAAAGACTCTGCACCTACAGCATTGTAAGCGCTCTGAATACATTTGGGGAAGGAAACGGACACTTGCACAGTGGGTAAAATCAAGTATGGGGGTACATCTTCGGTGTACAGTGGCTTTTACCCATTTTCCAGTGTTCCTCCCTGGTAACGACCCTTTAGAAGCCTTGGGACATACCTGCAATAAAGTAGCGTGCCTGTTGCGTTAATTACTTGTAGTTTTACATCTTTATACACTACTTTGCATTTTTTAAAATGGGAATTAAAAATAATATTAGTAGCCACAATTGCTAGGCTTATCCCCTCCTCACCATTTTTATGTGGATTGGTCCTTTTCATTTCTCGTCAGTAGTTTTCTCTTTTTTCTCACTTTCCCATTTAGTTTTGCAGCGCATAAATTGAATGAAAGTAATGTCTTTTAAAAAGATGGAAAACAAAGCTTCTTCCGGGGCGGGGGTGGGGGTGG